TTTAACTTAAAGATGAGATATTACAAGGATGCCCTTAGTAGGGCGGCTACTAAAACTGAATAGTCACAACTTTAAAAAATAAAAAACTATGAGCAGAAGGCCCAACAACTTCCTAATTAAATAAAAACAAACTAAAGACAAACCGGGCCACTCAACAAAACAAACTGGCCCACTCAACACTGCCTAATCAGCATCTATATATCCCTCCAAGGGAAGTTCTCTCCATTTCTTATACAACAACCCTTGACTTGGAGCACCCTTCAAGTAGCGTAGTACTCCAACAATACCTTCCCAATGGATTGTCCTTGGTTTCTACATAAATTGGCTTAATAGTCCAATATTGAAGGAAATGGTTGGCCTTGTGATGGTTAAATAAATCAGCTTCCCAACTAATCTCCTGTATCATCCAGGATCAGCTAGGGGCTCCCCTTCACTATCAGACATCTTCACATTCAGATCCATAGGAGTATCCACTGGTTTTGCCCCTACTAGGTCAGTTTCTTCCAACAAGTCAAGTGCATGCTTTCTTTATGAGAGAGAAATTCCCTACTTTGACATTGCTACTTCTATGCCCATAAAAAATACTTTAAGTGCCCCAAGTCCTTAGTCTGGAACTGGTTTTGTAGGAACTATTTGAGCTCTTTGATGCCATGTTCATCACTCCGTGTAATAATAATGTCATCAACATAAACTGCCAATACAACCTTCCTAGAGGTAGTATCTCTTCTAAACACCAAGTGATCAACCCTACAGTGTCATCCCAAATTGCTTTACCGACTACTAAATCTCCTATACCAGGCATTCGGAGATTGTTTCAGACCATAGGTTGCTTTCTTTAATCGATACACCTTTCCTTCCTCCCCATAAGCAACATACCTTAGAGGTTTCTCCATATACACCTCTTCTAAGTCACCATGGAGAAAAGTGTTTTTTATATCCCCAACTAAAACAATGGCCAATCAAAGTGTGCAGCCAAGGAAATAAGCACATGGACTGAACCCATTTAATCTACATGTGAAAATGTATCAATATAATCAACTCCATAGGTTTGTGTATATCCTTTCGCTACCAAGTGTGCTTTATATCTTTCTACACTACCATCTACACGGTGCTTAACTGTATAAACCCACCGATAGCCAACTGCTTTCTTCCCAGGAGGAAGAGAAGTAAGGTCTCAAGTGTGATTAGATTGAAGAGCATGAAATCCATTGCCCTCTTCCATTCTAGAGAGAGGAGAGCATCATGAAGGGACCTAGGAACAAACATGGACGAAAGAAGAGACACAAAATTCCATTAGGATGGAGATAAATGTGCAAAGGAAACATAACAAGAGATAGGATGTTCAATACAAGCATGCTTAACTTTGTGAAGAGCAATCGGTAGGTCTAAGTGAGAATGATCAGTCGACGAGGGAGCCAATGATTTCTAAGGAAAAGCTAGAGTAGGTTGAAAACACTATACCATGAGGACCGTGGTTGTTCCTCTCAGGGAAAGAAAGTTATTTTTAATCAGAAGCCTTCTGCTATAATTGAAGGATCTTCAAAACAATCATCAATTTCCCTTCATAAGCCTAGGTCCAAGAGACCACCAAAGGCTATAAAGCCACAAAGTAGTAAGTTTTTCAAGATCTGCCTTTCCCACAAAACATTTTCAGGATCTGTACAGCTATTTCTACACTGTGAATATTCCAACTTTTCGCTATCATAATATTCTTAGAAATATAGATGGTCAGTTAATTAAGACTTTTAAGGATAGTAAGTTTTTTGTTTAAGAATTTTTATATCATATTATTTTTTAGATAAAAGCATAAATGATTGAAATTGATTAATTTCACCTTAAGCTAGATCTAATAGTGTAATTTTCTTATAGATAAATGTTATAAAAATTTTAATAAGTATTTCTTATTTTATCATTGAATGGAAGTCTTTACTTAGGGATTGTTTCCTTGGTTGATTGGATTAACGTCCAAAAGTTTATCTATCTATCTATCTATCTATCTATCTATCTATCTATCTATCTATAGAGAGAGAGAGAGATTGTTTCCTTGGTTTTATCATTGAATGGAAATCTTTACTCAGGGATTGTTTCCTTGGTTGATTGGATTAACAACATCCAGAAGTTTATCTATCGATCTATCTATAGGGGTTGAGTTTTGTCAGTGCTACTGAAATGCAAAAGATCAAATGGGCAATTGGAAAACTTAAACATATTACATGACATTGATATTCAACCTAAATGAACTTATATATTCTCAGATAAAAACTACATTCAATTCAACCAAACCCACACTAGTGTGAAAAAATTTAGCAATATTGTTAAGAATGTGAAAACCCACTTACTGGAAATGTTGGATTATGAAAATCATTTGCAAAGACGGTATCAAGATCAATAAAAAGCCTATGCTCAGGAGTGTCATATCTGCCATCGCACAGATCCAAGCCACCAATGAAAGCAGTTACTTTACGATAATTTCCAGAAGCTTGGGTGTCTACAAGCACACACTTTTGATGATGTGTAAATAGGGTTCCTACAACCTTCACTAGAAATGTCCATTTAAATACATTAATAAAGAAAAATTCACAGATAAATTACTAGACTTATTATTATTACATTATCAACAGAAAAGTGCATTACAATTACTGAAGGTTTAACTGATAACAATGAAATATTTGCTTCAATACCTGTTGCTTGAAAATACTAAGCTTATTACTTGCATAACGAGGAGAAAGTACACAATGGACAGTTGAATGTTTGAAGAACCTTCGAGTTTCTTCATCATGAGTGTGCATGACACCTTCCTGCATTCAAGACTACATTAACTCATCAGCAGATTTAAATTCATCAATACCACGTGCAAGCATATGGAAGTTTCCAATGAAGATGAAGCATATAAATGGTAATATGTTTTTAACCATACAAAAACATTAAATAACCAACAACTTCCATGGATCCACCAAACCTTGTAGAAGGAAAGGCAATATATTATGAAAATCAATGCTAATTAATAAAAAAGGCAGTATTACTGAAATAAATGGAGTTAGTCATTACTGTCTTGAGAAGAAAATTATGATGTGAAGTCTTGTCATCCCAAACCAGCATCATCACACGAACCCCTTGTTGTGACTTGTACTTCAGAAGCTCCCCAAGGGTTAGATCTCCACCTTCAGGTAATGGTTTGGTTGGCTCCCTTACAAGCTTTACAGGATGGTATATAGACCATCCAATGATGTAAATCAGATGGTGGGCTTCCAGTATGGCATGGCAAATGTCTTCCCAGCATTGACCTTGCTGAAAAACTCTTCCCCCATCTAGTATGATATCAGGTAGTGCTCCATGAGGCACATGAGCATCTTGGTAAAGGGTAACAACCCCACCTTTACGAAGTGGAAAGTATGTATTAGGCACTCCTATGTAATTAGGCCCAGCACCAATACCATTCTTATATAAAGGGTCCTCTTCAACAGGCCTAAACTGCAAAGAAAGATGAAGCTCAGGATAAGGTTTCAATGGATTACCATATGGACCAACAATAGGGAACCAACCATTGATTTTGTCTCCTGGGAGGATTTTCTCAATAGGTATCTCAACCACTCCAATAAGCTGAGCCCCAAGAATATCATTATCCTTAACTTGAAATTCAACTTTAGTAATTGGGTGAGCCACCGGTACACGAAAGTGCTCATCCCATGAAGGATCTTCACAGTTGGCAATTATTCTAGTCTGAGCTACTGTTGCCCCTGCCATGCAAACAGAAACATAAGGATCACTAGTAATAATTTTCCGTCCACTTTTATCCCTATCCTTTTTCTTGGTGGGCCGTGCACAAGAACCAAACATGGTAAAGCATTTTCTCATCCTCTCAGACACTAAATCCATATTTGGAAGAGATCTCGCTTCAAAAATCCATATTTCCAAATTGCCATGCAAGAAAATGAAATTATCAGAATACACAATTCCCTTCCCCACAGTCTCGTGCACATAGATTGATCCACCAGCCATCAGGACCAGCCAAAGGAAGAGATAACAAGAATAGAAAGTTAAAATTTATCTTCTTTTTCTAGGAACAAATCCATGGACCATTGATGAAAATCTACCATCTGGCCTCATTCTCCCTAAAGTAATAATTTGAAATCCACATGACTTCCTTCTTGAAGGTGTATATTTTTAAATTTTGAAAGGATAATATATTTAATAACAAGTTAACTGTCTGTTAGAAAGCATGCAATATCAACTCCCAATTTTTCAGAATTTGACTGTGAATCCACACCAAAACATTACAAGCTTCTATACAAAACTCATAACCCATCATCCGCCATGAAAAAATCATGTAAAATATAACTCTTCTTCCTGGTCATAAGAAAGATTCATGGTAATATTTCTCTTCTCAAATAATGCTTAAACCTTGAGGTTCCAACGTCACCATAGAAATAAAAATCCTTGCACATTTCAAAAAGCATACTCTTCACTTAACTGCCGAGTTTAAAAATAGATCAGGTAATCACTCAAATGAAGCAAAGAAGCTAATTGCTTTTATTTCCTTTTTCAGCTTACAAGAAAGCCAAAACTATATTATTTCGTTGCAAATCATGTGTTGTGAGCACCAATCTTAAAGAACCAAAGCGACTCCTCCCCTGAAATACCAAAGCAGATAGAGGAATCAGATTGAAGCCAAACATAATATAGAGATCCTAACAAAGAAAATAATCACAAAAGAATTATCATGCACAAAATACATTAATGTACAGAGAAAAGGGTGCAAGAGAATTTTGTACATATTTATGTATGTATTATCAACTGAGGTGGAACGATGAGGTGATGGCTGGAGACGAAGGTGGGTTTGTTTCTGCGACGAGGTGGAGAAGAGAGTTAGCGATTGAAGCAAAAAAGGTGGTGTTCGAAGAAGGAAGGAGCAACGGGAAGAGTGCATTAAAGATCAGAGAGGAGAGGAAAGCAACAATAGTTTTTATTTTTTGGTTCAGAGAAGCTTCTAATTAGTTAAAAGGATTCTCCGATGGAGTGGTCTACTCAGTAAAGAGACAGGGCCGGAAAAATTCTTTGGTTGTTTCAGAGAAAAGGTATGAAGTGGAGTTGAGTGAAAACTTCAAAGGTTGGTTTGTGGTGATAACAGAGTGGTTCAGTAATAATAAAAAACAAATGGTTTGTGTTCCGGAAGGTAGGAAAGGAGAGGGTGGGAAGCGGTCTGCAGATATCTTACAAGGTTTCTTGCTGACGATTGAAAAGGGAAAGATTGGAACTTCACAAACCTGTTGTCGAAGAAGTGGTGAACTCTAAAAGAGATGTGGATAACTCCTATCAAAACAGGGGCTGGAATGCATGAAGATAGAAAGACACATATCTATATGATGGTTCGACTAAGTTTCAGAGAATGATGTTGGATGTTGAGAAAGGGGAATGGGAAAATAGATTGGCTCTTTCGGCTCGGTAAAGTAATCAGACTGGCGTGATATTTTGGACACCGTAGTTGAGAACAGGAAAGCTGTGCTTGATGTAGGAGAGGAGGAAGTGGAATTTTCGGCGGTTGAGACTCAGTTATTGGACTTAAGAATGATTATGGTCGAAAAATGGCATATTGCATGTAATAGAAAAGTGATTACAGAGGGGTCTTAATGTTAAGTTGGTGGGGTTACCCTTTAATCTGTGGAAGGAAACCATTCTCGAAATGATTATGATCGAAAAATGGCATACTGCCTGTAATAGAAAAGTGATTACAGAGGGAAGTCTTAATGTTAAGTTGGTGGGGTTACCGTTCAATCTGTGGAAGGAAACCATTCTCGAGAGGAGTCCTTGAAGAATACAATATTATGGACCTGCATGCTGCGAAAGTTAGGATGGTTGGAGTAAAGCATGAGGATCTTATTCGTTCGTCGGAACTTCTCACAGATGGTTTCTGGTGCAAGGTGTGTAAGGGATCGACCGAGGTTGAAGAAGGTGATGGAGGTGGAGCATTGGTGGTGTACAGGTGGTGGAGGAGAGTGGACCGAAATCTACGTGTGCAGAGGCACGCTGCAGAGGCAAATGGAAATGGGTCTGAGAATGGGAATAAGACGGTTATCTTTCCCAAAACAGAAATTATAAGGAGAAAAGGGGCAGGTGGAATGTCCCTTGCTAAAGCGGTCAAGAATTTACAACGGAAAGGAGGGTATTGACTGAGCCGATTGCAAGGCGGTCTAATCAGGTTTGTGAACCGGATATTGTTGTTTTTGAAGAATCCTAGATGGGATAGAAGTGTTTGAAAATCAAGGGGAATAAGGCAATTGGGTGGCTTTGTGGAAAAATGAAAAGTTTAGTTGGAATAGAATAGAAGGGATGTTAGGCAAGTTTACGGAATAGAAATAATAAATATTCTTTTATTTAATGAAAAAACAATAATAAGTAGGGCTGTTCACGGGTCGGGTTGGGTCGGTTTACTAGCATTTTTCCAACCGACCCAATCTGGTCGGTTTACCTAGAAATGAAATCGAAACCGACCCAATACTAAGTAAAACCGACATGGTCGGTTTGAATCGGTTTGGGTCGGTTTTGTGAATGATTCTCTCGGTGTGAATGGTAAAGGATTCAAGTCTAACAAAGCAAAGGTTGGATGCCATGAAAATTAAAAATGATTTGATGGATTAAAACTAATATTTTATATATCATAAATTTTATATATAATATGTATATTGCTGAAATATATATATTTCCACAAATATATATCTGAAATATATATTAAAACTGAAATATATCAGATATATATATATATATATATATATATAATATCTGAAATATATTATATATATAATATATATCTAAGCCAGTTCGGATGAAAACCGAAACCGAACCAAACTATCGGTTTATGTTTTTTTGTAACCCGAAACCGACCAACTCGGATTGGATCGGACCGGGTTAGTCGATTTGGTCGGTTTGGGTCTTGTTATGAACAGCCCTAATAATAAGAACACTTATTGTATTCATATTTTATTTAAGAAATTAATTTAATTAATTCATTAATCTAATTATAGTTTTAAAAGAGTGTCCAGTAGTGTGAAAATATCGTGGATGGGACCGTTTTGGTCTTCCTCATGGTAAAATAGGGTGTTTAGCTTTGTGTGAATGGTTCTCATCCACAAAATAGCGTAGACAGGGATGAGTCGCACTCCAATTTATCATCTATATTATTTTCTCGTGAATGGGACATACTATGATGTAGATAGTTTGTGAAAAGGATTCGGTGTAACACATTTGCCAACTACCTTTATTTTATTTAAAGAATTTGTCTAAAACTCACCATGAGTTTTCAACATTTAAACTCACCACAACTTTTCAAAATGTCTAAAACTCACCATGTCAGTAAGTTTTTATTTTCCAAAACTCACATTCCGTTAGTGCATAGTTAATGCTTCTTAAAATAGGTGTCCATGTCAACATAAATAACAAATTTAATGACCAAATTACCCTTGAATGGTGAGTTAGTTAGAGGAAAAATGGTATTTTTAAGTTTTTTATTTTCTTTTTTTTTGCATTTTTAGTGTTTTTTATAATTTATGCTTTTTTACATTTTCTATTTTCTACAATCTATAAATTTTCCTGTATTTTATTGTTATTTATTTGTAATTTCTGTGTGTTTCTATAATTTTTGGTGTTTTTTATACAATTTTTATTTTCTGATTTTGTTTTTCAATTTCTATAATTTCCATAATTTGAATTTTGAAAATAATTTTTTATTTTGTTTGCAATTTCTATAATTTTTTATATTTTTTATAATTTCTATGTTTTTATGTATTTTATATTTTAAAATATTTTTTGACCTTTTTCTTTTTTCATGTCTAAATATTAAAATGGAAATATATTAACACCCATTAATTTATTTTGTATATATTTTATATTTTTCTATGAAGGTTAAAATGACAATATATTAACACCTGCTAGTCTATTTAACATCAAGTTAGTGACATAGTGAGTTTTAGACAATTTCCCTTCTATTTAATATTTTAATTTATTAATAACTATTTTTTAAATTATTTATTGCTGAAGATAATATTATAATGACAAAAATATTTGACATCCTTAATGATTTTTTCATAATTTGAATCAGATCGGATTAGATAATATTATAAATTTAATTCTTTTAATAATTTATTAAATCTTTTCATAATTCAAATCGGATCGGATTAGATTCAAATATTTGACATCCTAAAAGGATTCGGATTCGAATCACCATTTATGAGACCTAATGAAACCGGATCTTGGATTCTGCTATCATGTCAGATTTGGATATACATTGATTTGAATCTGATCCGATTTGTTTGCATCCCTACATGATCAAATGTGTAAATTATCCTACAAATTGTGCATGAGATGTATGGAATTAATAGGTGTGGTGTGGACTGGACTGCACTTGCAGAATGCCCTTGTGGGTATAGACAATTTCTATCTACATAGTTTTGTCCACAATTCAAAACGACTATAAATAATAGTGTGATATGGATTGGTCCTTGCTACAGAGTGTCATGTGGACTAATCCATACCCACCAATTTCTCATCCACTTACAGAACACCCCCTAAATGAAATATTTAATTTATTTATTAATTTATTAATAAAATTAAATTAACTAATTTGTATTATAATGATATAATCAAATGAAAGTATATCTTGACCAACACGTCTACTTTTCACCTAGGTATGTCTTAGCACACAGAATTATGAGTATATCAAATCCATGTTTTTCCAAAGTAACATGTTACATATAATCTTTTGACGTATTCTATGATTGTACTCTAATCTCCATCCGATATTTCTTCCATGATTAAAACTTCGCCAGTTTTTCTTTATCTTTGTTTCTTATTTATTTATTTTTTTTGTTTCTCTTTAGATGTTATCCGTAACATTTGACACATTTACAAAATTGATGCATCCAACTCAGAGCAACAAGTTAATAACTAAAGAATTCAAAGAGAAATAAAACAACAATAATGGCAATTCACTAGTTCACAAATATGGAAATAGCAAGAGTAGAAACATAAATATGTCTACAAATTATAAAAAAAAAAAACAAGCTCATATTTCAAAAAACAATTCAGAGTAGGGATCAAGTTATAAATAGAATAACTTGGTAAAACATAGTCAAATAAATTTCACCTCCAAAACCTTCTTAAATGAAACCTAATCCATCCATAAAATGACATAAATATTAGAAATAACAAAGAAATACTTCAAAATTATATACCCATGTGCTCAGTAATCAATTACAACATCAATCCAAGAGATCAAAACCAACGAGAGAAAGAGAGAGAGAGAGAGGTACTTGGACCTCTCAAATTTTGAGACCCGTTGTGGGGTGTTCTTTTTTTTGGATTTTGAGAGGGGGAAAGTTGGTCAATAGGATTTTTGTTCCCATTGACCAAGAATCTCATATTCTTTTTTCAAATTTATGTGGGGATTAGGGAAAATTTATTTTCCTAGGTATCACTTACTCGGGTAAGTGGTACCCATCTCCTAGGTAGGCAAATTATGAGAAAGTAGAAAAAACCATAAGCAACAAAAAAGAGACAATTACCATATGAACACGAACAAGTGTCCACAACAATGGAAAAAAAAAATAAAGCAAGATTTTGAAAAATTTTATAGAGAATGACTCTGTTTATATATCATTTCTTCTTCCTTTTGTTTTTTTATGATAACATCATTTTATTTAAGATTTACTATTTATCTAGTAATTATATCTAATTTAAATTTCTTAATTAATTTGAAAAAAATTAAATGAGATTCAGATTGTAACATTTTGTATTCATAGATCTAATTTATAATTTAAAAGTATTTACAATGAGTCTTTTATTTGAATCAAAAAATTATTACAAAGATTAATATGGGTCCCACATATTTTGAAGTGGATACTCTTTTATATGTAACCATATATCTAAAATCAAAATTTCCCATTTTTATATTTTTAATTTTAATAATTCTGTCAATCCATTTTGCAGAGGTTTTATGTTTTTTAATTAATTATTTGACCATCATGCTATTTATTTATTCTTTACATATAAATAATCAGAAATTGCTCATTTAATCATTTTGAAATTTGCAAACACATGTATTAATT